AACTCACACATCTACAACTTTTGAGGAACAAAAGAGTTATAAGAGCTTTAACTTTTTGCGCTTTCTATTTTTTATTTATTTATTTATTTTTTAGGGTACCACCACCACTAAAAGCTCTCCAATCAGATTTTTGCGTAAATGTTCTACTTATAACATACCGTCCTGGAACGCAAATGAAAGCTCAAAATGTATGTTATTTCGTTATTGCATGTTTTTAGGTCAGTCAGAAAACTAATTCGCGTCCTTTTAAGTAATGCTAGTCTTGAAGTTAAATACGATTTAACCCCTCGAGTGTAACGGCTTTTAGATCTGCTCATGATGTTTTGCATTTGCCTACAATTTATTAGCTTGTTTTGTATAACACTTTGAGTAATTTTTTTATCTTCATAATGTGCAGATTATAAAAATGACTTCGGGTGGTTAAAGAAATTAAGAACAAGAAATTTTACAGATCTAGATAATAAATATAAAGTGGAGAAGAGCCTCATGGGGAAGTGGGTACACAGCGCGGTGCTATTTGGAGGATTAAAAGGTTTCACAGTTATACTCTTTAACTGCGGCTTTGAAATATTTTTTATTTTTCTTTTCGCAATGAAATACGGCTCTGTCATAAATTTCTTCGATTAATATAAAGCTTTTTTTCGTCTTCATAAATGTTTGTTGCACTGAGAAAATTTTTTGTTAACTCATAATGGTAACGATAAAATACAGTTAAATAGGCGAACAAAAACAAGTATAATAAAAACAAGTAAAACAAGTATAATAAAAACGTATCGTGGACGAAAGCGAAGAAAGCGAAGCGAAGAAGACAGCGCAAGGCGAAAGCGTCGGCGTGCAAAACATTGTAAAAGAAAAGAAAGCAAGGAGAAAACATCATACTTCTAAAATATTGTGGTATAAAACATCGTCATCAAAAATAACGCGTTTAAAAACATCGTCTTAGATAATATCTTAGTAAAATATAAAGCACTTACAAATCATTGTATGACAATAACATCGTCGACATAGGACGTATTTGCCAGGCTTTAAATGTTGTCAATATATAATAGTAATACGATTTGCGAAAAATGAGGAATGAGAGGAATTGAGGGTTTTGGTTTGGTTTGGTTTATGTGATTGTTGCAAAGGCTCGAGGGCTATCTGCCTAAGGAGAGAGATGTCTTCGTGGAGGACTTTCTAAGGGGAACTGGCTTGTATACACTTTACACATGAGGAAAACTACGAAAACTCCCATGCAGTGAGCCTTTTCACGGGATTCGAACCTCAGACCGAACTAACAGTGTGCAGCGACTTTATCGCTTGGCCGCTGGTGGGCGAGCAATCAAAGGGAATGAGAATAATGTCTGCCTCTTTACTTCGTATTTTTGGATTAATTAATAAGTTTTTGCTAAAAAGGCGGAAAGAAAACTTGCGCATTCAAAACTGAAAATGAATAGAAAATTTATGCTATGCATAGCATTTAATAAAATTTTAAACTTACGTACTTAACTTTTAAAGGGCATTATTTAACTTATCTCTTTCATGAAGTCGTGTTGACGGTTTTTCATGAAAAACACAATCTAAGAAGCATTAGAGAAAGGAAGATGAGTAACTACATGAGGTTGCTATATTAAAATTGTTTAATTAATTTTTAAATTGTAAAGTTATTTTCTTTCACTTACAGTAAATTTCCTTTTTGCTTTTTTGCCAGAAATTTGTTAATTAATCCAAGCATATGAAATGCAGAGGCAAACACATTCCTCATTCCTTTTTGCGTTCATAAATCATTATGCGGCTATATATTAACAATTTATAAAGACTGGGCTGTACATGCTTTCGATGTTATCGTTATTTTATTATTTGTAGGTGTTTATATATATATTTTTACATATTATCTCTGATGAAGTTTTAAAACTGAGATATTTCTGAGAAGCTTTATTTTCGACGAGGATGTTTTATACGCCAATATTTTAGAACTGCGATGTTTTCTTTTTGCTTTCTTTTCCCTCATAATGTTTTGTACCCCTACGTTTTCGCCTTGCGTTGTTTTCTCCATGATGTTTTCGTTAGCTATATTTTTGCTGCGATGTGTTTTGCGGACGCCGTAAAATACACATTTCTAATAATAAAGAATGTGCTTAAAATCAATGCCAAAGCTTTTTTTCCTTTATAGGAACACTCAGTTATGTTTAAACTAAACGTATTTTAACAAGTGTTTTTATCAAACTGACTTTCCAAATTCTTGATTTGTACCTAGAAAGTACTGTAGCATCGCAAAGAAAGTGGCACAGGAGACCGACGAAGGATACATGCAGATCTTCATGTTCTAGGAAATGCATTTTATGAAGGCTCCCAACTTCTCAGTTTCAATTTCAAATAATTTTTAACAAATATCTTGAGTAGACATTTACGATTTGATTATTACTTTATTTTTTTAAAGCTTACAACAAAAACTGTAAAGCACAATGTTGAAATTTACCTTTAGGTATCATTTTATTTTAAAATACAATACACGTGTTTTTGCCTCCTCGAAATCATCATGAACGTAAATGTTTCTAACACAGTTATGATATATTAATAAATTATACTTTGTTCATGTTTCAAATACTCATTTTAGCTTTTGACTTTCATGGCTGTATAAAAGTCATATATCCGAGCTAAACAATACTCCTTTAGAAATTGTATAAGACGCATGCTAACCGTAAGCATATTTCACAAATGCACATTAGCGTAGCCACTGAGGGAGAGGTTTCGAAAATGAACTAATGAGCTGCTATTGCTCTTGTGACGCTAAATCTTCGTGCATGTGAGCGTATATTGTTTACGTTTTAATTTGCATTTGTTTCACAGTTATAAATATATGGCGTAATAGTAGAAAATCTCGTAGTTCTTTCGTTTTCTGAGTTTGATTAATCGCTGACATTTCACTCTCGCGATTTTTATAACGCATTAATATTAGGATTGATTTTCACGGCATATTATGTGGATTAAGAGAATTCAAGTGTATATTTTTTAATTCAGCTGAGAATGACTGAAAGAGTTTTCATATAGACTGCAATAAAAAGTGCTGATTTCTATTTACATATGTAATTCGTGTAAATATTTTTCTCATACGCATAGTTTTATGTAAAGATTGCATTGGAGCTAATATGTTTATCACATATTTCTTTCTTCATCTTATTTACCACTTATTAAGTAATATTTCACATCGATATTTTTGCGAAGTATCCAACAGGTGTTTGTATTTATTTCAACCAGGTAGTGAAATCTTCGTAATTTCCTATAACTGATTTAACTTCGCAATGAAACGTTTCAGAAGCAATTGACGATGCTTTAATTATTTTGTACAGAAAATAGCGTGGCAGAATATTTTCAATCATCTAGCTTAAAGCACGAGAAAGGTCATGTGACATGACAGAAATATTACTGGATGCTCATTGGTCTATCCTAGAAGCCACTCCCCTGATGGCTACACTGATGTGCACTTGCGAAATATGCCAACCGTAATATCAAAATTTAACAAAATCCAGCTTTAATTTGGCCATTATTACAGTCGCAGAAATCACTGTATATCTCAAGAGATAATGATTAATAATGATTAGAATATTAATTTGCTCTCGACAAAAAGGGGTAACTGTCTCTTGAAGTACTTTGAATCTTTTCACTCGTGGCCAAACTGGGACTTTTGTGTGTTTTAAACATCAGCATTTATTTAAAACTCATTACTAATCTGCTTCTAATGAATAGAGTTCGCGTTATATTCATGAAATTGTAGATTCCTCACATATGCTATAGCATCACGGAAAGTATTGTAGCTTCAATAATGAGAGAGACACGGGAGTTCGATGCAGGATATATAGAGATCTTTATCTTCTAGGTAATGCATTTTATAAAGGCTTATTGACTGAGCTGTCATTTTAGAGGTCCAATCTTCTTGCAGTTTAAAGACTGAGATATTGATCACTGCATCTTACTCAATACACGCATTAAATATATAATACTCCTCGAGAAATACTGTATTGAACAGGGTCTTAGAAAATATAAAACGCAGTTTTAGGAAGAGTTAAAAAAATGAAAGAAAGAGATGCAAATTCAGAAGTGAAAAATAATTATTCATTATTATATCATTCTTCTATTCTTGGAGACTTATGAAGTTTATTAACATTGGTTTGCATCTGGAAAATTTTTTAATTTATTGAGTATAATATCGCAGAATTTACACAGCTTATTTTTGAGTTCAAAACAAGAGTTCTATGCTGTAAAATCTACAAAAAGAGTGATTTTTATTTAATTAACGTAGTTTTTATTCGCGTAATTAATGAAAACCTCAATAAATTGTTTAGCTATGCTTATGGTGATTAATATCACTGATTATTTGCTAAAAATAATCCTAAACACAGTCAAATCGCAATCTGACGAATTCGAATATAATGATTTTTTTAATTAATGAAGGTTTCCCGTTTTCCTTGCAAAAGGCAAGCTCAAAATCTGGATTTCAATGTTATTTTATCCAAATTTAATAAACTGTCAAATTTTTCAAGAGCGAAACCTTTGAAACAGACTTCGATTTTTAACATCGGATTTTTATTGACAATAATTTATTGCAGCAAGAGCATTTTATATGAAAGAGAATTTCATTTTTACGTAAAATCAGCTTATCCACTTTGCTGAGATCTTCACATTGAAGCAAACACATAATTTTTTCAGTTATTATTGTGTTTATTGATTCTATGCCCACTGATTGTACGCCCACTAAGTGTGTCTATCTTAGTGCCCACTGATTATACGAAAAATTTCTATTTGGCGACTTTTGTCACCGGTTCTGGGTTATTCAATAAAACAGGATTCCAATGCATATGTCTATCGATGCGATTGGATTTATCCAATGCGATTGGAAATCTTCAATCAAAGTTCTGTGAAATGAATTGATTTTAATTGCTTGTTATGCCTATTATATGTGTCGGCATTTTACATTTAACAGTATACTTATTTTGGCCTTTTCCACAATTTATGTTTTATAGGAGTGCGGCAGGAGCAAGACCTGTACGTTCGGCTAATAGACCATGTATCAAAACAGGTAGGCGAGATTAATATGTTATTCCATTAAAACTGATTTTTTTAATTTATCTGAATATTAATTTAAAGTTTTAAGGTTTTTATTAAATATTCCTGTTATTTTGCATATCTCGTGTAATTTAACACATTTCTTATGCTTACAGTTACAAAGTTCACACTAATCATTTTAAAAGAGACTTCCTAATAACCTATAATATTCACTACATATAGCACTTAATTTCAGATATAAACAATTATTAGCGTAACAGAGATACGACGCATTTCGAAACTTAGAGGAAAAGTTGCATAACAAGATGCAGATGTATGCGCACGCTTCATTTTCCTTTTTAGTTTATACGCAAAATACGCCGACTAACTTTTAGGATTAAAAATGTTCAATCGATCTGAGCCAAACTGTTTAATGATAATTAGTTGTTATGGTTACAAACATATCTCAGTTTGCTTTCCTTAAAGTATCACTAGATTATGTAATATTTTAAATGAAATTGTTTGCTTGACTCTATGCAGCAGCGAATATTTGTTGCTATATATTAAAAGACTGAATAGTGGGAATTAATTGAATATTATCGCAATCATTCCGATTTTTTTAAGTAAACGGCAAATGATGTACAAAGTCGATGGTTTGATAGAAATCCAGACAAAAAATTACAGTTATCTACAAGATAGGGAAAAATTCCTCTGAACCTACCATAATGATGACCTTTGATTTGCCTGGAGTAATTCAAATGGGATTGTTATTTGAAAGGCAGATAACCAACTCTGTTCTGAAAAGATGAAATATTGTTGAGACTGAAGTGAATTAAAGTCGTTATATCAGAAACGACTTCATTAGTTAATGATTTGTCTTGCATGACAAAGGTTTTTTCACACAATACCGTTAAGTATAAGCAGTTTATGGAAAAGAGAAGGGTAATTATTTTTAAACCTTTTATTTATTTGTCAGATTTATCAAGTGCGGACTTCTTTCTGCTTCTTAAAATGGAATCTTCCCTTAAACTTTTCCTGGGGATTGGGACAGATACGTCCTACGAGTTCGCAACATTAAATAAAAAATTTTATTTCCCTACATTAAAGATTAAAATTAAAGATTTAAAATATACTGTTTAATGGAAGCAGAAAATGGCAGATCTTATTGCCTTATTATTTCCTCTTCCTTTTTGTTTGAATATTTGATTAAACTAAGCCAATAAATAAAAAAAATCATCTCTAAGGTTAATGGTTACCATTTTGAGAGCATTTCAGAAATTCTGATAATACGAAAAGCATTCCAAAAGCTGAATCCCACGAAGACATCCAGAAGCCCTATGGATATGACAAGAAATGTATATCTTTAGAAGGAAATATAAGTAAACGTACTTGCTAGTAACATAATTTCATATTCATAGTCACACATAAATTTATCCATATATATATATATGTAAAAATCATTGCTTATAAATTGCCGTAGAAGTAAGAAGGTAAGACAGGCAGTTTACTACAATGATTGTGTATTGAATAAAAGGTTTGTTATGTCAAAACTAAAAGCATGAACTTGCACGACATGCAATTAGATGCTCTCCGAAGTGCCTGCGATAGATACGAAATTGCTTACTGCTTTTCACTCGACGCAGATTACCTTGCATGTATAATATTGAGAATTAGACAGTCGAAATGCTGATTTATTCTGAATGCTAGCGATTTGTTTCTGAAACTTTCCCTTCAAAATTCAAGTATGCTACAGCCATTCAATTTGCTGAACTTATGAATGAAGAATCTGAAAGCAAATGATGTTGCATTGCACCCTCTCTTAAGCGGGAGGTTTTCCTCTCCTCCTCAAGTTCAAGCGAAATCGACTAATGACAAAAGACTGGGGGATGTAAATTCACTTTTGCTATCATATTGATCTCATTTGATCTTCATTAATCAATCTCCTTACTGAGCTGCGTGGCGTTTATTGTATCGACGCGGAGGACTTGATTTGCATACCAATAGAAGCCTTGCATTACTCCCTTCCTTATCATACAGCAGGGCAAACTGCGCCCATAATCCCATCTTCACACACATAGAAGATTTTAAACTCTACAGGCGTCTACTTTACATATAGTAACCCTACTCCCTACTCAAACTTACGAAGTCAGAATGTTAATCTGCGGGTTAAACTTTTACATAGTATTTTAATAAAATTACAGCAAACTTAAGTTAAAAAGCTAGACAAACATTACAAGGTTTACAGAAGTATGACTTGTTTTTTTCGCTTATTAATCACAAGTGAGGTAAAAATCAAAACCATGCTTCTAAAATACTTTTGAATAATAAATTTGATAATATTCAGAACAAGCTCTTGCTTTGATTAAAATCTTAATTTCGAGGTCAATTTTAATGTTATTCTTTTCCGTCAAATAATACATTGGAGGAGAAAAGCAGAACCACTGTGGAACTCTATGCGATATTTACATTTTCATTATTAAAAATAGACTAATAATGAAAACAAAAGTGATAGATCCAAGATAAGGATACTTAGAAAGAAATTTCAAACGATTCTTATTCTATCCATCTAATGATCTTAACCTTCAGCTTGAATCGGAAGACTTATATTTAAATCCGCATAGATCAGCTATCTCTCATGTTTCTGATAGTGAACATCGGTGTAAATGAAAAACTAATATTAGACAAGTTTTAAAATAAGTCAATTTTTTATGTTCAGTACACATATTTTTTTTTTTATTTATGCACAAATTAATTGTATTATCTTTAGGTGAGATCACATATTACCATAAGAAGGCAATTTCGATTACATAAGGTCGAAAATATGATATTGCTTACCGGATTAGATCCGCTGATGCAGGATCATATACATATATATATAGAAAGAGAGAGAGAGAAAGAATGAAAGTCTTTATACATTATACCGTAAAATGAAAGGTCTATATATAAAACAGATAGAAACGAAATTTCTTCTTTCTTTGCAATCTGAGCTGTCACTTGTACAAATCTTTTGGTTGAAATTTAGCTAATAAAGTATCATCGTCTTAGATATCAGTGAATGCTGATTAGCAAGTATTGAACCAGGGGCGGATAGGACTATCAGGAATTCGTGTAATATCCTAAGGCGCCAGTGTCAATGGCGCCGTCGTATCACATGACACCGATGGCTTAAGATGAAACATTAGTTATAACTGCAAAATTCATACAGGGAAAGAAAAAAAGAGAAACTCATTGTAAGAAAAGATTTAATGACACTCTTAAAATCAAAAGATATACTAACAGTAACCCTATTAAACTTATCGTCTTATCCCTGTTGTTGTTAGCTCAGCTCAAAATCATAATCGTTGGATCTAATTTTTATTCCATTGCATAAAAGCAAGGAATTTTCATGTCCCGCCATCCAGACGATTTCATAAAACTTTGTAAAGATGACGGCAGCTTTATGCATGTCGGCGACTGTCCGCCAAGATAAAAGCTTCACGTGTGCTTGATGAAAGTTGTTTTTTGTTGTTGTTGTTGTGACTTATCTCACTTTTCTAACAGTAACACCAGAAAAAGCCAACGAAATTCCTCGCGGCAAGGAGTGCCAGACTGCGCCTGTTGTTGGCAAGAACCTTGAGACTGTACGACTTTCCTCAGCCACCCAATTTTGACGGAGAGCTACCCTGGGATCGGGTCCGAATCTCCCATTCCTCTTCCCCTACCACTGGAACGACTTTCAGCTCGCCGAATATTTAGAGTGTTTCCATGCCGCACAGACACGATGCTTTTGCAAACATACATGCCTTCTCAGAGATTCGAACCGGGACTTTCGGTATGGCAGTCAACGTCGCTAACCACTATACCGATTGGGTCGTAAGGTTGCTTTCTTCATGATTTGAGAAGAATTTCATTAAAGGTACCGGGCCTCTTGGGCACCTCAATTGCCCAAGTTTCAAGGGCAATCTTTTCTCTATATTATTTGGCTGTGTTAGTATGCTTAACGCCATCAAGCTGGCCACAATCATTAGTGACGTGAACGCCATCAAGGGTAACCACTGACCATAACTTTTTCAAGAAAAGTCTGATAGTCTAATGTTACTCTAGCAGATACTATCCACTATAAGAGCCAAACCCTACCGGAGTAGGGCCTGAGATCCAAGCAGCATTTAATGAAAGTCAAAGTTAAAAAACAGTATCTACTGAAAAACAAAATCTGAAAGTTCAGATTTTATATTACGCCCAAAGGGGCGTTTTTTCATTTACTTGGAAGAATCCGAAGAAACCATGGATGTTTGTACATGTATAGGGTCGATATGGCGTGATGGCATTCAAAATACATGGCGAGCCGAAAGTTTTCTCGGGAGTTTGGTGTTAGGAGAAGAAGTGTGAGAGACCCTTTGACCGGCCGCAGCAGAAGGTTGCTTCAGGGATGACATTAATGCTGTAAGGCTTTCTTAAGTCAGTTTTAATAATATGCATCAGCCATCCCTTGCAGAGTTTCGGGGTGTTCTCCCTCAATATTGTGGTGGAAGCTTAAGAGTTAACTAGGTTTAGCAATATCTCAATCAACCTGTGGTATTACAGAGATGCTGGCCTAACTTCTATCTGTACCTATTCCTTTACCTATTACTTACCGGCAGAACAGCCGGTATAGTGGTTGATGACGTTGACTGCTGCCCCAATAGGTCCGGCCTCGAATCGCAGAGGAGGCATGGGTGTTTGGAAGAGCGGCAAGGGTGCACTCAAAAAAAAAAAAAAAAAAAAAAAAAAAACACGGTGGGCTGAAAACTCTCTAGAGAATTTGGATGTAAGGGAAGAGGGAATGGGAGATCCTGGAACTGCACCCCGGTAGTCCTCCCTCAAAATTGATGCAAAATCTCACAGTTAATGTAGCGAGACTATACCTGTACCACTAATGGTGAATTTCTGGTGCACCGCCCACTTATACTTGTACATGTGATTTTATGTCAGGAAATCCTTTTGTTTTGCGTAGGAATGGCCAACTTTTAAAAAAGTGCCGGTATTTTTATGCAGTTTTGCCGCGCCTATTAGAAG